TTTCAACAATCTGCGGACTACTCAACTCCTCAACTATGTAAAAATTGAAGTATTGTGCTTGGGCTCATTGAATTCATCTCGACGAGTTGTTAGTTTATATTATGTTGACTTTATTGAACTGTTGTTGAATAAAGTCAACATATGCTTGTCATGGAACCATAGCCCTCCCAGTGGTGATCGATAATACTAAACAGTCTGAACCATTTCTACGGCACTCTGTCTGCGGCAATTGAAATCAGCTCTTTATTAGTACCCATTTAATATACAGTTAGGGCGCGTGTACACGGTAAGAAATTCGACGTATCTGCTACAGAAAAGAGAGAATGGTCATGTACACGACAAGAACTTTGTCGGATCTAGCCACGAAAACATGTGTCTGTTGCAGACGAGAAAATGATGACTTTGTATACGATACGAAGGCTTTCGGACTGTCGTGTGTCGGGTAAAATGTGTCAGTGCGTTACGAGTCTTCCAGGGTAGCTGTCGTTTTACTACCGACTGTGGGAAGAAATATGTTATTGCATATGTTGACTACTAAACAACACTTGTCCAGGCGTATAAACGTTCGTTTACTGACAATGCACCTCACCCCGCCGCATATAATAGTAGCAGAGCGCGTCGTGTCGGGGGTAGACAAGATTTTTTCTTGTCCGGCGCCGAGGCTGTGTACACAGTTCGTGTGTAGAAAAGACACTAATTCTTGCATAGACCCGGCGATTTTTCTTAGCATGGATACGTGCCCTTAAGGTACAATAAAAGCTTAAATACTAGAAAGTAAAACTAGGATTAAATTGGGTCTCCGCGACACGATGCCCAAGATGCTGACAGCGTTCCCCCTTTGTATGGCTGTGCTAATACGTTAGGCAAGGTAGCTGCCTGCCCTTGGGTTTCCCAGGCAGTCAATTAATTTTTTGGACAAAATTTTGTATTGATGAAGGGCACCGGGACACCACAGGCCAAGTGTTTTGACTCCAAAGGCTGTAAATAAGTAGTCGGAGCCGAGGTCCTGGTAATTATTGCATGTTTATTTCATTTATTTATCCTAAAAAGAAAACCAACAGTTTAAAATTAACTTATATAATAGTAACAACTAAGAGTCAATTACAAATCCTCACAAATAGAAACATAATATAAGAATGCACAATTTAATAACCTATCGCTATAAACATAGCTTAATACGTAAACCATAAAACTAAAATCGCAGTTGCAAGCCTCACTATGGGTCAAAGAAATGCCCACTCAGTGCTCTCCTCGTCGAAATCGCACTCGTACAGATTAAAGGAAGTACATAGAATGTTAAAATTATTGCTTGCACACCACATAAACACATTTTGCCTACAGTTAGTGTTTCTCAAGGATTTATAGGGAAATTTGTAAACTAAGTGATATTTGTGATAATGATTCCGAACAATCAATTGAACCTGATGCTATTTTCATTATAAATATTAGGTCACTAATATCACGACGCATTTCAAGTGGTAAGAGATGATGCTTCTTACAGAGATTGAAATAATTGGCAGAATTGTAATAGTCCTATGTACGATATCACAGAAAACGAATAATTTTTTTTGTATATTTTCCAGCCGCGAGATATAAATATGATAACGTGGATTCCAAATTTGGCTGGCATACTCTAAAGTGCTGCGGACAAATGAGCAATACAGTATTTTTAAAGTTTTCACCTGTGCAAAATCTTTGGCACACCGTTCAATAAAACCTAGTGACCTAGTGGCCTTGGTCGCTATACTATCAATATGCGAGTCGAAAACTAGTTTAGAGTCATATAGACCTCCCAGATCTCGTTATTTATATGTCAGATGTTATTTGTATTTACATACATACTTACGTTTAAAATAAAATCATTCACCAGATCTGCTCGGCATAGAACAAAAGTATTCAGAACGACAAGTGAGTTGCGATTAGTTTTCAGTGCCGGTGTCTATTACTGCTAATATAGGTATAGTAAGGTAGTTAGTAGTAAGTAAGTAATGAACTGCCTTAATGAGAAGCATTTGGTCTTTGAGAGAGCTAATTTGTAAAGTAAGTGGACGAGTCAAATAGCTCGTAATTTTGGATGACTCGAAAGTTGTACGTATGAAGTCAGCCTTCACGCTTTCTCTAGGTGATTTTGGAAATACAAAACTCGACAGCGATTGTTTCATATTTGTTGCCGTAGCACTACAGTTTTCCCGTATTCGGCTGGATGTCTGCCAGAATACTTTGTGTTATTTGACATTGTCTGAACTATTGCAATGGGAGAAAACTGGCCAAATGTGGGTTTCTAGGCTATCACTGCTGTTTATTTATTTATCTATAACAGTTTTCAGCTTTACTTAAATGGTCTTAATACCCCTGACATTGTTATGATATTGGCAATATGAATTATCAAAGCGCAGCGAGTCAAACTTTTTTGGCTCCCACCACAGAACAATAAATACAGTAGAAGTGGTTAGCTAGCATCCGATGCGTACCAACTATAGGTTTCGAAAGAGCTATCAGAGCTCAGTCCGCCATGTTCGCTTTGTATGGTATGGTTGTGTCATTCTTTCGTGCAAATTATCTAAAATCCTAGAAAAATGCCTTATTGCTTAGTGCTGTTTTGGAGTGCAATAATTATAGCCGCACCAGAAATATTACCAGTGGTGGTATTTCATATCACCGGAAAGTCTTATTTTAATCAATTTTCTGTTTACCGAAACAATTTTTTTGTTACAAGAAACTAAACCCCTGTCACCAATTAACAGTTACATGGCAGCAAATTGATTGTAATTAAAATATAATATCAAAACGTTGTAACTTGCAATAATAGGTACTGATGGTATTGAAATTTCAACGATATGCCAACAGGTAAAGTTTAAATTATATTAAGAATCCAGATTTTGTTATTTCTTTTAAATTTGAAACTACGACCAATCAATATCAAGATATTTTTTTAATTAAATGGACTTGCTCTTGACCACTACCTAGCTCTGGAGCAAAGATAGGATCTACGATGCAACGAGCTCGCCCAGAAGAAGCCTATTCTGTCGCACCTTAAAGATACCTGGGTTGTATGAGTTCGGAAACACAGTCGCAGGCAGGGAGTTCCATTCCTGGGCTGTACGCATAATAAAAGATAATGAAATGCGCTTAGTCCGCCTGAAGGGAATATCGACCAAGTAAGGATGATATCCTGCCGTACGTCTGAATGTCCGATGGTAAGAGGGGGCGGGTGGGATGAATTGATAAAGCTCATGGGCACACTCACCGAAATATATTCTGTAAAAAACCGACATACGGGCAACTTTGTGCCGGTGGGCTAAGTTATGAAGTTTAGATTCGACCTTATGGTCGCCAATAAGTCTCCTGGCTCTGCGCTCAATTGAATAAGGAGTCTCAAGTTGATACTTCGCCATCCCACTAGGTGACTGCTGCACTCCATGCAAGATCGGACTCGTGCTTTATATAAAGTTAAGAGCTGTCCAGGCGTGAAATATCGCTTAACCTTATTAAGATATCCAGTTTTTTGGCTGCAATTTGTGCCTTATATTCAATATTAGCGGCAAAGTTAAGGGTTACGCTCAATATTATGCCAAGGAGATCCAGGCTGTCGGTAAGAGATACAGATGTACCCCGAAAAGTGGGAGTCGGATCAAATGGACTCCTTTTAGCAGAAAATAGACAGGCCTGCGTTTTGGTGGCATTGAACCGGACCAGATTGTCATCTCCCCACTGAGAGACGAGACTTAAGGTCAAGTTCGTCCGCTTCACCATGGCCTCTCTCAACGAACGGATAACTGTCTACTGTCCTTTGCGCTGGACAGATATCTCTTCGTGACAGTGCTGTCATCTGCATACCCAACAATACCTGGGATAAGAAGGTGATGTGTAGCAGGAAAAGAGTCTCAGAAAGAACCGACCCCTGAGGAACTCCGGCATCGATAGCCATCAAATCAGATGAGCGGCCTTCAATGATTACTCTGATTGACCGTTCATCAAGGAAATCGAATATCCAGCTACAAAAGTCAGCAAGGATGCCGTAAGCGGGAAGCTTGCTCAGCAGACTTGCGTGCCAAACCCTGTCAAAGACCTTCGA